ACTGGGGGAGAGCCACCCATCCCCCATCCCCCGGCCCATCTCGACACGCCGTCTTAAGCCCGACTTACACAGCTCGCCTCTTGTAAAATTGCTACCGATATATGGCTTTATAATATAGTTGTAAAAGAATCTTCCCATAGTTAGTAAGGAAAAAAATACACACACATAAAAATTCATTAGCCACTACTTACTTAATAATTTGTAGAAAGTAAACTCGAATTCTGAGATATTTAAATCGAAATATAGGAAAAAAAGCGTTGAAACTCATATTCTCATCTATTCCGTATTCCGTTAGTTCTGGTACAAGCTTACGGTTAAACTAAACATTAGTACAAGACAACCCTTCCGATACTCAACCCCGCATTGGTTAAGACAACTCACACGGTACACTATCGAGACATTATTAATTAAAAGCCAGCTTAGGAAGCCCGCACGTGTCCCCGGGCAATCGGCAGACAAAGAACGGACGGAATCGCCCGGGGAGCGGGCAGGAGCGGGAGCGAGGCTTCTATAGGTTAATCCGGCCTCGAAGGACCAAGTATCGATGAAACCTTCGATGGTAAGATGTACTGTGTGTGCTTTTATAATTAAAACGCGTCTTAAGACGTTTGATAGAAAACCATATAGCGGTTTTTCCAAAGTTTTTTATTTTGGATATCATGAGTGCAATAAAATCAAATTGACTGTTGTTTATTTCAATGCAATCAAATAATTCATATTATTGATATAAAGAGCATTTGTTTCAAAACTCTAGCTGATAAAGATGTATCGCACAAGGAGTTAATAAATCCTCCCCCATCTACCTCCAGCTAATGAGTAAAACAGACTCACTCCTACCATCCACACCAATTCGCAACGCCACGATAAATAAGCCGACAATCGGAACAAATGGACAGGAGGCGAATTAAAGCTGGTGTATTTCGATTCTCATATATTAGGCACATCGATCTCACACGTCCCGGCAAGAGCGGCGAATGCTCGGAAGCACGCGATCTTAAGTTCCCACACCCCTTGCCCCCACATCTACACCGACAATTGTTTTGCAGCCGAATTGCGATAGAATTAAGTTGAGATTTGATTGGACCCGAGTAAATACAACTGTTTTTGGCCGCTGTTACACCGATCTGTAAAAATTACTAAACAACATATTGAGTTTTAATCCATTCGGATGACAAGAGAAATAACAGTGGTAATCCATAAAACTGATATCGTAATGAAGTGTCTATGGACATGCTGTCTGATGTAAACACTTCAATCAAGTATTATTTTTAAAACGTACAAAAATTGTTTAACTTGAAATAACAGTATTGTAACGTATGGTTATTTCTTTTCTTTTTTCTATTGTACACTATATACAGGTATATGTTTTATCAGGAAGTCAAGACCAAGGCATAATCCATGGAGGAATGAAAACAGCCGCATTGAAGTAATAGAGCCGAAGATAACTTCCTCTATTTAGATCGATTGAATATAACGGTGTGACAGACGGCCGTACTCACGGTACAACCAAAAACAAAACAATCCGATGCTCACCTCCTTGCGTCCGGTTGCTTCCAGTAAATTTACATCTGGGCCATGTATCCCGCGGGTCCGTGGGGTCGGCAATAAAGTGTTCTTAGCGAAGGAGAACGTCTTAACGCCCTCTAAGAGCGGCGATCACTTCTACATTGTGTTGTCTGTCGACTACACTTAATGTTGCAAACTTGTTTGTTATTTAGGACATGACTTTTTATACGTTTGAATTTATTATACTTGCTGGTCCTGTCGTTTAAAAGTCAAAGTTTTCAACTCATAACAAGTAACTTAAAAAGTATTAAAGACGATACATAGACTGTTGTTAAATGTTTCTAGCAACTAAGGTAATGGGAAGGGTTTCGACTGTTTGTTTATGCCGATGCTATTTTATAGTACTGGCGAATGTTTGCGCAGGGTTTCTGAAGGTGGGCGCGGCGTAAATTGGCTAACCGTTAACATTAAAGTTTAAGTGAATTAGTTATTTACAATAAGGTATCTGATCGACCCATCCTGTCTACAAGGATCATGAAGGCTTGGATTAAAGTTGTTAAGGTGTTTACTATGGTCCTGAGTAAATATCTACTAATAATATTAACATTTATAGTCAACCTGTGATTTTTTTTTACAGAACATTTCTTGTGATTATCCAAATTATTCTCATAGTTGTACTAGTATAAGTATTCTTCGTCTCTGGCCGTTGCCACTTACGACATTACTATACTAGAAAAGACATTGTAATTCTTTTTTTATAACGTATAAACCAGCGCTTGACCACTATCCCACCTAGACCAAAGTGAAGATGTGGTCGAAGGATGGTACGCGCTAGTTTAGTAAGTACCGATTCACACTGCTCTTGGTGGCACCCACGTTATAACTTAACGGGAACACTTACATTATATTAATTCTTAAATGAAGTAATTTTTTGAGAAAAAGTAGCCATAGTTTGGGACTTCTGTGAACATTAAAGTTACTCTAAGTTGTACAATGTAAATTACCGTAAGTTTCGAGACGTTGTAGACCTTTAAATCTGCAAACGGGCGAAGGTGGACGCGCCTAAGATCAGATTAACAATCGAGCCGGACAAAGGGCTATTTGGTCCGGCAACGGTATTCTACCCGGATATAAATTTACTAGAAGAGACAAGAAAGTAAGAATTCTTATGATATTAAAATACTTATTTTTATCGAGATTGTAAGTACTTAAAAGAACAATGTAAACAATGTAAACTTTTTTTTCGATGAACAATAAAATAAAGTAAATATGGTTTATGTCTGGGTTACGTGTTCACGTCACGTCCTTATGGTCAGGTATAATTTACCAACTATGAAATTACGTCAAATTATCTTATTTCTTTTCGCTATCAATACGTTACAACGAAATTATTTTTAAAAACATCTTAGATACATTAAAAAAATTAACAACGTGACACATCTAGTTGTAATAGCGCTGCGTCGACATCTTGATTCGGGCCCTGGTCACTATAAATTGCCCTATGAGAAGTAGTGATTTAATCGGCAACCTCAGGGTCCCTCAGGAAACCCATTAAATCGTATGGTCAGAGGATAATTAATTCCGCGGTCTCTCCAACTCAGATTAATGGCGGAGCCTACAATTGAGAGCTCTTTCCGATGCCTATAGATTATTTAAGCTGTTGTAAATATAATTTTACGTTGAATTAAAAAAAAATGCGTGGATAATTAAGAATTTCAATTTCGAAATAAATATTAAAAAAAAATAATTTACGTAAATAATGTGTACATTTTTTTTAATTTTGATATGGCTCAACAAAATTGTTTTTATCGTTATTTAAATTAATAACTACGATACATGCGAAAGCATTTTAATAATTTAACAGTTGTATTGAAAGTAATTTTTATTAGAAGATAATTTTAAACTCATTAAAGGTTGAATGATTTTTTAAACTTTGGTTTTTTAAATTTTTTAAAATTTAGAATTGGGTTTATCAAGAAAATATTTGAACACCATGTATAGAACTTACTGTAAAATATATCGATAAAACTAAAAAGTAATTACTACCTGAATGTTACTGAAATATTGAGTCATCAGAAAGAAAACATACCTGAAACAGAAAAAAAAATCTCTAATTATTCATTGTGTATGAACCAAAACTACTCTCCTTTTTTGTTTAGGATGAAGAAAAGAAATCCATAATTTTAGTTTTACTAAAGATCCATTTGAAAGTTCCCTTAAAATCTTGTAATATTTTCAGACCGCAAACTCATTTAGCGCATCCTAGTAACAAGATTTATACTAAGAAAGTTACCTGTCAGCAAAAAAGTTCTCTTTTCAATATAAGAGATGTAATTTCCATTAAAGTATATCAAGTTAATATTGAAAATAACAATAGACCTAATAAACAATCTAGAAGTTAACTTAGATTCATAACTGATGTCTAGTTAGAAATTTTTATCTGCTTGAAAAATGTAATTGCATGAATCTATATGCTTCCGATCTTGATGCATGCTATTGATTATTATATAGAATACTAGCTGTTGCTTGTGACTTCATCTGTGTGAAACTAAAAAATAATAAAAAACATAGCCTATGTTACTCATTGACAATAGAGGTTTATATTTTAGAAATCGGCCTAGTAGTTTATATTAAGTTATTTCCATTCATACCAAAATCTAAAAATACAAAAGTTTCCTATAAATCTTAGTATAGATTTTGAAATCAAAGACTTGGACAAATTTAATAAATGTTTACATTTATGCAAACATACATGAAGGAAGAGGAAACCAAGTCACATCTCATAAACATCGGCAGTGACTGAATACAGGGTTACATATTGGTTCACAGAGATCATTCCCGGAGATTGTTAGCAACAGAACAAGGTTGCTAGGGTTCTTTAAAGCTGGGTGGAGTAATCCTCACTGTACTCATGCAAATAGCCGTAGTTCCTCCTACATATTTATGTAGCTAACTGTACGGGTAACTTATCCCTATGCTTTATTGAAGTCACATATAATGTCATTTTTAGCCGATACAGGAATTGTCAAATGCTGTATTGTTGTATTCCTTTGAAGTATATAATGTTAAGATTTAAATAATAACTGTGTATGTGCAACATAATGGTTTGTGTTTGAAATGCAAATTATATCAATGTAGAAATTTACATTAATAAATTGAACAATTGTAATGGTTTTAAAATGTACATTTTCAAGAGACAACTCAAAGTATTTGACTTACAAGTAAAATGTTTGATATAACAAAAACTATTGTAAGCAGTTTAAACGTTAATTGTTGCAATTTTTCTTCTTTATTGTTGATATTTCTAATAGAAATTGATATTTTTCAAGATACTAGTAAAGAACTATGTTTTTCCACGATTGGCTGTTGGTTTATGACTATAAATTAAACGGAATAATCAACATACAAACAACCATACACGAAAACAACAACATAACCTAAACGTTGTCAATGTTACAAGTGAAAGATTTAAATAGTATATAAATACTGCTTACCTGGTACGGTGTATCATCAGGATGCTCCTCCAAATGTTTCAGATTCAGACAAAACAGGCAATTTTCAAGAGAGTTCCAAATGTAAAGAACATCATCTCTTAATTCCATAAAATTATACAACTTGGCACCTGTATTCTCTTGAAGGCTTTCTTTTAGATCTTCAAAAATTTTATGTTTTGGCAAAATAGTGTCGTAAAGTTTGCTATCCATTGTTAAAATTAGATTTAATCTCACTTTGTTTTGAAAACTTCTGTTAGAACATTTGACAGATGACAGATTTGCAATCGCGGTATTTTGCGCTCCGTTCCATTTCACGATCACGATGCATTAAAACATTAAATGATTTTGTCGTAATCAAAACTCGGTCTAAAAAAATAATTAAATTTGTTATTACATTCTTCCAAATGACAATGTTATAAATGTGTTAATAAAATTACCTCGTGGAATTCATATTAGCAAGCGGACATCACGTATTAGTAATATATAACAAGTGCGTGGCCAACTAATTTTATTAAGAAGAAAAATGAGATGATGATAGGCCAGAAACTAAATGCAACCTGACTTGATCTGATGTAAAGGATAAAACACTACCTTAAACAATTTGGTTGGTAAGCAGCAAGGGATGACAAAATGTATGTGCTCGTTTGTGACATTTTTTTTTAGTTAACATGCTCTTATGTGCCGCTTTTGTAATAAGTAGGTACTTTCCGGTACTGCTCCTACTTCGCGCAGGCAAATAAATTTTCAATTACTAGACGAAAATAAGACATGAATTGTGAACAAACAAAACGTTTACACTATAAAAACAAACCGTTTTGCAAACAAATACAACCAGCGCGAATATTTTACGCGGATAACGCAATATTTCTCCATGGCAACTAATTTATCATTGATATTCCTCGCGAGCAATTGACTAAGTACACCCGAATGGAAACATAGCGCCTCCCTCGGATAGGTGGCAACGGATTGTTAGATTGTCCGCTCCTGTACGCTGTATATCACTTGCCTCAAAATGGTATCACGTAATTTCATCTCCCAAGGCCCCGCGCCTTGCTTTCTTATAAATAAAACAACATATAGGCGGCGATAAATTTTGCTTTTCGTGATCGCGAGGTGTATAATTTAACTCTGCGCTCGTTTTAACGTCGTTATCGAAGGTAGCGATGATCAACTGTAAATTACATGCCTCTGTACTTGACGTCGAATGGCCCATTGACAACAATGAGAGCGTTTAGGTGTACTATTAAGTGGCCAGTTTAGTACAATTTATTAATTTATACGAAGAGTAATACCCCGACTGTTAGGCGACTCTAGTGAGATACTATTAGGGTTTTGGCGCCTGGGAAAAATGTAACAATTAAATTTGCTTTTAATTTTTCACAGTAACTTCAGTGATCAATTTTCATGGCTTCTAAAATCATACTAATATTATAAACGCGAAAGTTTAGATTGATGGATGGATGAATGGATGATTGTTATAGTTTGTAACCTAAACTACTAAACCGATCTCGATGAAATCGGACATATATTTAGAGGATAGTCTGGAAGAACACATAGGCTACTTACTAACTTACGTTTTTTTTAATTTCACTCGCACGGAGTCGAGGGCAAAAGCTGGTACTGTAAAATTGAATTTTTAAAATTAATCCTTAAATTTGGTGTCTTTGAACTTAGATTTTGATAAAAATGTAGCTGTGATTGTTTAACAATCAAGTGTCTAAAAATGTTTAGAAATTCCGTTTCTCTACCTCAATATAGGAATCCAGTAAACCATCAGCATCCGAGATCGATGTCAAAACATCGTAGCCTGAATAAAATATAAGGAGAGTCGAGTGCTCAGTTTTCGCGAAATAATGCTATTGATAAATTTAGCAACGCGTCTCACATGATATTAGAGGGTGGCGATGTGCACCCCCCTGGCACCCTCCCCCGCACCCCGCTCTATTATTATGCCGGGCAGGTCGCGGCAAGAACGACTTAGGGTTGCCAACTAAAACCATCTTAAAACAAAGACAGGTTCCTACAATCAAAGAGCAATTCCTTTGGCACACAATGATTAACAGGAAAACTGATTATATAAATACCTATAATAATTAATTACCATACCAGTAATATAACGGCAATAGTAGATATTTTAATATGCTTTTATTGAAACTGAAAATAAAAGGTATGTTGTTAATTTAAATGTTATTAAATTCCTTTAAATACTACATTAAAATTTAAGTTTTTTCCAGATTTTCGTTACGTAACTTTATACGACTAGGTTGTGTGTAGACAGCCCTTGCCGGAACAACCCGCTGGGACGGCGCCGATGACTTGTCATTAATAACGACAGCGGAAATGTATCAAAAGGTGACGCGTGTCCCTCCGACCTCGTCCTCCGTCTGTCTCCAGCCTTATTTATGATACAACAGAACAATATTTATTTGTACTTATAGATCTTTATTTCGCAAGAGCATCCGCGAGAGTATTAGCGGCCGCTATACTTATTTAGAAAGACGTTTTATTTTGAGAGAGCTCTATGCCTGGTTTTAAAGTACTAATTAATTTGTAGTCCTAATGCGATACTATTTAAGTCATGAGTCAATGTTACTCTTTGTTTAGCAGTATTTTAAGAGTTCTACGGTGAAAATACCCTTTTTGTGTACCTATTGACACATTTTAACAATACTTTAATTGTATTTTGGACAAAGGGCCTGTCCCACCACTGGCTGATAGAGGCAGATAACTTAAAATGAAGTCACTGTCAAATAAAGTAACAAAATCCGATATCTCAATGATATGTCATTGAGATATCGGACGCTATTACACGCTGGATTGTTATCAGACAATTTACAATTTGGTGGAACAGGCTCTTAAACTTTAAAGCCAGTACTGACGTCCATGTAGTTAGTTACTGGGTCATAGTACACGGGAAAATAAGCAACAAGCCGCTCGATGCGAATTTTACACTTGTAACGTTACACCGCGTAACAGTGTTCCATACACAACGCACCTCAGTCGGCACGTATTAACAAATTAAGCGTTATAATTTTACAAATATCAGTGATATATTGTCGTCCTTGTCACGTACGTAATATGGGTATACAATTTACACAATATCGTCATACGTCTTCACGTCAGATGTCCTCTCGAGGCCGGGGTCCCAATTACCGTTGGAATTGTTCCAACGTGCCCTATCTATTACTAACACGGTTTGGGAATTGAGACGGCAACGGCTGTGGATGCTAAAAAATAGTTTCCGACGTCCCATAAGCACGGTTGTTTCTAATTATTATGATTGATTTTGCTGTCACGTATAGTTATAAAACAGAATGTTTCTTTTCGGAATTAAAATAAGGGCGTAATTTTATTAGTCGATAACTCTGTTGTTATACTCTGACTAAAGAAAATGATCGTTCTATATAAAATAAGCGTTATACGGGGATTCAATTGACGAGTATAATGCGCTGTAAGTAAATGGAATAAATTCGCCCTACGCATGCGGGTGGTAACAACTTTTGAAACTTCGCCTTAAGATGTTTGGTACGACAGAATCGTATCTACTTGATATAAAAATAAATAAGATAAGTAGTTCTTTTTTTAGAAACAAACTTACTTTAGAATAAAATATGTTATACAGTACAGAAAAGACAAGTCTTTTTTATTTATTTATCTCTGCTTAACCTTTTAAGTATGTAATTTTATTTAAATTCAAGTATAAACATAATTCTTAAAGGACATGCATTATAAATTCCTTTCAGTGCCCCATTCTCGTAACCTTAGTAAACAAAACCAATACACTCCGGTTGTAAATCTCTTGTAACGTCCGAAACACTTCAAGTATCTTAACCGCCTTCTTGTACCTTACATATGTTAGCTAAGAAAGGGTTGAGCTACCTGTGTGGGAAGGGGAGGGGATTTACTCCCCTCATTTGTTTGCAATGACCCCCCACCCCAGCTATCTCATAGCCGTGTACGTACCATCTTGTGTATTACTTCGGTTTATGTTGTGTATATCTTATAAAATCTTTCAAAGTTTGTATTAAAGGCTTTTATTGAATACTAGCTGTTGCTTGCGACTTTATCCACATGAAATTTAAAAAAAAAATGAGTAAAAACGTAGCCTATGTTACTTACAGATAAATTACCTTTCTAACAATGGAAAGATTTTTTAAATCGGCCCAGTAGTTTTTGAGTTATTCCAATACATACAAAAATAATCTTTCCTCTTTATAACATTAGTATAGACTAGTTTTCGCCTGCTACTCCACCCGCGTGGAATTGAAGTGGAGAGGCTATGGTTCTTTCAGACTATCATCTACATTTATGTCAAATTTTATAGAGATCCGTTCAGCCGTTGCTGCAAACTTCATCCATCCATCCATCTAAACTTTCGCATTTATAATATAAGTAAGATTTATCAAATATAAGATTATATTAAAATAATAGAATTGCGTACATTACAGATTCTTTTTATTATGGTAGACAAACACAAATTAATAATTTTCTTGCAACTAATGTAAATAATGAAATAATAAATTTAATAGATTTTTAGCTAGCTATAATTTGTACGTTAAAATTGGAAGACAAAATCTAGACGACCACAGAGTAAAATATACAGCGTCACAAGAACATGACATATTTTAATTTACACCATTCAAAATACAAACGAAGACCAGTATGATACAAGGAAAACATACAGAATTATCGATAATAATGTAAATATATACTTAAAATAGAACATTTAATGAAGATAAATTAAGTTCAAAGTTCAATTCTCTGCTGACGAACTCGGCCTATAGCTAGGCTAATAATGTTTTTAATTCGTTTCTTTTTAACTGGTTCTTCTGTATTATGTATCCTGTGGTGTTGGTCGCGTTAGAGCCAATAAAGTAAGTGCTATCTCGGCGTGGGAGCGGGAGGCTGGAGGCTGTACTGCGACTTCCTGAATTGTATCGCATCGTAAACACTACTCGCTGTAAATTCTAACATTTTGACTTAAAACCCTAATTGTCGCACACTTTGATAACAATTCCTTAACATAATATTGCTACAAAACAAGTAAAATAATATGTAAAGAATAGAAATATGTGTAAAAAATATATTAACGATTAGAGCGGCCGCACATCTTTAAATAAACAAAACACAACTGCTGTGCGATTGTCGATTGTGTCGGAGCCACTGTTTAGTTGTACAAATAAAAATCGAATAGTATGCAAACCTCTATAAAAGCACATAGGAATCGCGACTAAACAGTTGCACGATAGTTGAGTCAAAGATGTGCGCGCTCTAAAATGAGTATACGACTATGTCATGTTTTGTCATAATCTAGTTATCGGAATAAAGGATCTGCATTAAACCTTTAAACGTAAACTAAAGGCCATAACCGTAAACCATGAAGTGAATTTGAGTTTTATGTTTTGCCACTTTTTAATCTGTGTTCATAGAACAGTAATCCACTGGACAGGCTATAAACAGTTGTATTTTGTGCCTATTTGATTTTCGCCATTGGCGGTGACTGTATCGGTTTGTGGCGGCGATGAATAAAAATAACTGTCAATCATTAGTGCCCATATTCATAAAGGCACTTTATATAATATAATTTACTGAGTACAAAGACCTTATAGTAATAAAGTACAATAAAGATGTCCAGTTAATAGTATTTGCAAAACATAAGCAAAGAAACAGATAAAACGAAATACTGTTATTGGTGTACGTATCAACTGATAACTTCTTATTACCTTCTTATCTTGCATATAAGAGACATTACAATGAAATGCAGACACAATCACAAGTAAACATGAGTTTCGAAGGGAAAGTTGTAATTGTAACAGGCTCCAGCTCCGGGATAGGAGCGGCTGCAGCCATCGAGTTTACTAAAGAAGGTGCAAGCGTCGTCCTAGTCGGAAGAAACGAAACGAAACTCAAAAGCGTGAGAAGAGAATGTGAGAAACTTGGCAAAAAACCCCTTGTTATTAAAGCAGATGTCTCCAACGACGACGAAGCTAAAGGTCTCATAGAAAAAACAATTGAACATTTTGGTAAGTTGGATGTGTTAGTTAACAATGCTGGTGTGAGTTACAACTTTGATATTACTAGTGATGGATTTATGGAAAATTTTGATCATATAATGAATCTTAATTTACGTGCTGCTGTATACTTGACACATTTGGTGATACCACATTTGAAAGAGACGAAAGGAAACATCATCAATATGTCGAGTGTAGCTGGTGTAACTGTGAACGGAGGATCTGGTGGAACAATTTCATACTGCACTTCAAAAGCTGCATTAAACCATTTCTCACGCTGCGTTGCGGAGAGACTGGCACCGTACGGTATCCGTGTTAATATAATCAGCCCGGGACCAGTTCGAACTGACATTCTGGAAAATTCTAGAAATTTCCATTTGTCTTGGGAGTTGTTTAAAAAAAGAACGTTACTGAAGAGAGTAAGCGAGCCGAAAGAGGTCGCTGATTTGATTCTATTCCTAGCTGGAGATAAAGCTAAAGGTGTTACAGGTTCCGACTATGTTGTTGATAATGGATACTTGTTAAAACAATAAATAACATTAACTAATCAATCATTTTTCTTTTGAATACTAAAACTATGTTATTTTTTACAATTTATTATGCTTCTGGACTGTTGAGCAAGATTATCAAAACCCATTAATAATTAATCAAATATTCCTGAAATTTGTTGTCACGCGGTTATGACGTCAGCAGCCAAACTTAAAGGCCTCTTGGATTATCCTTATTATAAAACGTTTACGTCAACAATAACTAATATCTTTACATAGACCTGTATTTAAGGTCGTTTCCTTAATATTTAATGCACTAGTAATCATGAGTTTCGAAGGCAAACTCGTGATTGTGACTGGTTCTAGCTCTGGTATTGGGGCATCCATCGCTTTGCGATTCGCTAAAGAAGGAGCACAAGTTATCTTAGTGGGACGAAATGAGAAAAAACTTCAAGATGTTTATGAACAGTGTGCTACTTTTGGCAAGAAACCTCTAATCGTTAAAATCGACGTCACAAAAGACGATGAAGCAAAAACTTTAATCAAACAAACAATAGATCGTTTCGGACAATTGGACGTGCTAGTCAACAATGCAGGAGTCGGTGGTAATTTTGACATCCTTAGTGAGGACTTTATGGAAAACTATGATCGAATTGTACGGCTTAATTTACGGGCTGTGGTATTTATAACTCATTTAGCGTTACCATACTTAATAGAATCAAAAGGGAATATCGTAAATATATCAAGTATTGGTGCAAAAATTAATTTAGGAACTCATGGAGCTATACCTTACTGCACAGCAAAAGCAGGAGTAAGTCATTTCTCTCGCTGTACGGCTGTTAAACTGGCGCCATATGGTGTCCGTGTGAATATTGTGAGCCCTGGTCCCGTGAAGACTGATATTTTAAATAATTCCGGTGTTGGAAATTATTCGTGGGATGTAATCGGTGACACAACTTTGTTGAAGCGAGTGAGTAAACCAGAAGAGATAGCAGATGTTGTGCTGTTTTTAGCCGGAAACAAAGCTAAAGGTATCACAGGTTCTGATTTCGTTGTAGACAACGGCACCATACTTAAGAGTTAAGATAAATATTTATAAACGAGGAATAGCTAAACAAAATGAAATTCGATTAAATGTGATTTAATTTTAATTTATTAAACAGTGAAAAGTATTAAAAAAAATATCAAATAACCTTAAAATCAACCTTGTATCTTCAATAACAATACAATTATTATATCCAATAATTTCCTGTTTGTTTTAATTTGGTTACTACACAACGTAATAACTATATTTGACGCCTTTACTAATGACAAATATTATTGTTATCTTTCATTATATTCTGTATTACATTAAACATTCTTCATAGAAACTTAACATAAGAATCTTTTTATTTGCTTTAGTGTTAAAATAACCTTTTCATCAGCAGAAGGATCTCTTTTCGAATTAAATGAATAATGTGTAAAATCTGTTTAATTTATTTCACCAATGCACCGTTATCAGAAATAAATTCTGAGCCAGTGATGCCTCTAGCTTTGTCGCTGGCCAGGAACAACATTAGGTCAGCGATCTCCTCGGGTTCGCTGATCCTCTTGAGGGCAGTGTTCTGAGCGGCTACCTCCCAGGCGTTAGCTTCAGTTGGCATAGAGTCGGCGATATCAGTACGCACCGGTCCAGGGCCGATGACGTTCACACGGACTCCATGCTCTGCTAACTTGAGCGCCACTCCACGAGAGAAATGATTCAGTCCAGCTTTTGATGTGCAGTACGAAGTCAGCAACGGCATTCCACAGTTGGAACTCCCAGCTATACTGGATGTGTTGATGATATTCCCCTTAGTTTCAATAAGGTACGGTATCGCTAGATGCGTCAAGTAAACCACAGCTCTTAAGTTTATATTCATTATAGCGTCGAATTTTTCCATAAAATCATCACTGGTTATATCACTCCAATCAGCGACTCCAGCATTGTTGACTAACACATCTAACTTCCCAAACGTTTTAATTGTTTCATCTATTACTTTCTTAGCTTCAGCGTCCTTTGATATATCAGCTTTAACAACCAACGGTTTCTTACCGTAACTTTCACATTTAATATTTACTTTCTTCATTTTATCTTCATTACGTCCGACTATAACAACGTTGGCCCCCTCCTTAGCAAATGCGATAGCTGTTGATGCTCCTATGCCTGAACTTGAGCCAGTTACGATCACAACTTTATTGTTAAAACTCATTTTAACTCATGCTCCTATCTTCTATAGAGGTATATCAACACTGATCAGCTATTTATAACAAACACGTTTAAATATATGTTACATTATAACGCAAGTCATCTTATTACGAGTAAATTAGATACTTTGATAAGGCGATGATACGTGTAAAGACAAAATAGTAGAGTGAGTAAGCAGTTACTAAGCTGGTACGTATCTTTCGATCCAATGTTGTGATAATCATAACATTAGGAGCGACCGTGGACAATATGATTCATTGTTGAGTACATTGTTTATCTGTACATGAAAAAAGTTAAAATAATAGTCTAATATTTAAAGAAAAAAGCGATTAAATACGTAACTTTGTATTGAATGTAAAATATCTTCATTTCAACATCATCACCAGCTCACAATACGTCTTCTGAGGGGTCAATGCCAATCATAGCCACTTCTTTTTTTTTATAATATAAGCGACCACCTGAATCCACGGAAATGGAAAGTGACCGCTGCCCATAAACATCCGCAATTGCAGATGCGTTGCCTACGCTTAATTGACGGAGGAGGAGACGCACATAAAGAGGACATTTGCCGTTCCTATGTATCTCCTCGTCTGTCAAATCCACTTACCCTTCCCATCCTGTCATAAGAAAAGGGTGGTAAAGAGAAAGGGACTTAAATTAGGCCTCCGGCACCACACTCATCAGACGAGACACCGAATTGCTTCCACTTCACGCCTGTCTTCTGTGTGGTCGTGGTTCCGGGCGTGCCGGCCCTGCAGTGCTAAGATGTTAAAGCGGGCACTACCACTGTTACCACTATAGACAACACGGCTGACATGTATTAACAAAACTCCAACTGTAAAGATTTGCTCAGCCAACTTCATAAGGCACTTCTCTCACAACGATCTTTACAAACAGGTTCCCAGTAACTGGCTTTGGCAATGACAGAAATATCGACGACGTTCGTGCATCGTAACCTTTAATTTATATTTCGTAAGTCGTTGAGCGACTGAAATCGGCTACTTTCATTTTACATCGCTTCGTGTACCAAGAACCTTAAAACTGTTTCAACCGAGATTTATGTTATTAATGAAATTATAGCGCTACGACATACTGATATTGATTTTATTTACTTTAGTTTCATTATTATTATATATTATAATAAAGCGTAAACATTCACTTCTTTGTTGCCTAAGATGTCAGCAGTTATAGCATATTTTTGAATATATTTTTTTGATAAAAAGCCCTACGCTTTCGTCACGCTTTAGGCTATATATTTTCAACCCAATAAACTTAGGGGATAAATATTTTGGATAAAATCCTAATGTGGGAAAGAGCTGTTAAATGTTGCTGCCAACATCAAGGAAGCAAGATTTTCAAGGTTTGTCATGTCTTGATTTTTTGACATATGTAAACAATAAAATAAAATGTTCATAATATTATGAGGATGAAGTCGCATGGGAACAACTAGTATATAATATAGAGATATCGTAAGGATGTATTAACGTTAAGGTATGGACATTTATCATAACGTCGGTTGACCTTGAACCAACAAATATAAATAAAGCTGATTTTAAACATTCTTTTTATAACACCAACGTTGCGCGTACATTTTTAATCGAAACATTAGTATTCATTATTTGCACCAACAGTCGTGAATTCAAGATCCATCATTAATATCAAATATCAATAAATATGTGATACACGTAACTATGTTCGCTATACGATTAAAATCACTGATAAATTACGAATATTTAGTTAGTTTCAACCAGTTTCAAAGTGCCTTTAGATAAGAAAATAGCAATTAAAAAAAAGGTTTAATGAAAAAATTGCCGAAAAATTGGGAAAAATTATCACAATCTCAAATGCACGTAAGTACGTTTAACTAGTGAGGAATATATAAGCATAAGAATAGGTCGAGCAATCTAGTAACTACGTTATTTTATTACTTTCGTGTCATTTATTATTATACTAGGTTAATGAAGAGTTCGGTTGCGCCGCTCAGGGGTGCGCACGCGTACTTTGTCGCTCCGCGGTTTTTAAGTTAACATTAATGTGTACAAAGATATTATTAGATTAAAACATTATAAACATGTACAACTTTTGGACTTGTTATAGTGTGTGAATTTTCATGAGGAGATATAACGCTAACTTATATAAAACAGTAAATAAACCTTGTGTGTAATAAGTAAACAGCAAAAAAATTTTTGAAGTACCGTCAAGTAGAAGTGATCTTAATATAACATTGTCCAAAATGGAGAAAACAGTCAAAACTCTAACATGCAATGGGTGTCTAAAAAATATCACTAATAGGGAGTACTTATTGTGTTGTTTTTGTCACAAACATTACGATTTAGTATGTGCAAACGTAT